GAACAAAGGAAACAACTGCGTGGAGACAGCCTACATAGGGGAGAGAATCTCTGCTAGCTATACCTCTGACAGAGGACTAATACCTAGAATATAAAAAGAACTTGGAAAAAAAACCCAAATAAACAAAAAACAACTGTCCCAAACTCAAATGATCCCATCAATAAATGGACAAATAAAATAAGACAGTTACTAATAGAGTTAGAAGAAATAGCCAATAAACATGAAAAAAATGTTCAACATCCTTAACCACAAGGGAAAAGCAAATATAAACTATGTTGAGCTCTATCTCACCCCATCAGAATGGCTATCATTAAGAAAACAAATAATGGGGTGGGAAGATGGCTCAGCGGGTATAGTACTTGTTGCACAAGCACGAGGACCTGCGTTCAGAGGTGCAGAATCCATGTAAAGCTGGACAAGGTAGCATGTGTCTGTAATCTCAGCGTGCTACAGTGAGATGGCAGGTGAAGTCAGTAAAATCCCCTGAAGCTTGCAGGCCAGCTAGCCTGGCACACTGATTGACCAACAAGAGACCCTGTCTCAAGTATGGTGGAAGGCAAGAACCAACACCCAAGGCTGTCCTGTGACCTCCACCAGCCCACACCTGTTTTCTCTCTCTGTCTCTGTCTCTCTCTCTGTCTCTCTGCCTCTGTCTCTCTCTCCCCCTCTCTCTCAGCTATCAAAGACACCCACATATCAAAGACATAGACACACACACAAATTTTAAAAGAAAAAAAAACAAATAATAAATGTTGCCAAGGATAGGTGGAAAAGAGAATCCTTGTATGTTACTGGTGAGAATGTAAATTAGTTCAACCACTATTGAAAAAATTAAAAACACAAGTGCCATAGAATTTAGTTATACCACTCTGGGAAATATACCTAAAGGAATACAAGCTAATATACTACTGAGATGGCTGTGGATTCTTATTTACTGCATCACTATTCACAATAGCCAATTTATGGAATCAGCCTAAGTGGACATCGACAAATGGATGAAGTAAATATGACAGACACACCACACACACACAGACACACACATACACACAGATACACACAGACACACACACACAGACACACACACACACACACACTAGCTTTATTCAGCCATAAAGAATAAAACTATGGGGTTAGGGAGATGGCTCAGTAAAGCATTTGCTGCCATATATGAAGACCTGAGTTTGAATCCCTAGAACCTATGTAAAAGTCTGGCCCAGTAAATGCATGTGTATAATCCCAGTGCTCCTACAGTGAGATGGGAAACAGCAGAATCCCCAAAAGCTCTCAAGCCACCTATATAACAGGGACACTGTCTCAAACCAGGTGGAAGGGAAGAAGGCAAGGACCAACACTCAGCACTTTCTTGACTTCCACACCACACACTCATGCCTGTACTCACACACCATACACACACCACACACATAAACATACAAACACAAAGAAGGAAATAATGCCATTTACCAGAAAATGGATATAACTAGTGATTATATTCAGAGAAACAGGCCAACTAAGCAAGACAACTACCACTCTGCTTTCTTTCCTATGTGGATCTTAGATATAGATATATAAAACCATTTATATATGTGAACACACACATACACATAGGACATGAAAATAGAATGGGAGTATCTTAGCAAAAGAGGGGACAAGTGGGGGTGGGTAAAGAGGAGCCAACATGGTTTTTAAAGTACATGATATACTTAAGTGAAAATGTGTTTATAAAATCTATCATACAGCGGGGGCTGGAGAGAAGGCTTAGAGGTTAAGAGCACTGACTGCTCTTGCAGAGGACCCGGGTTCGATTCCCAGCACCCACATGGCGGCTACGAACCGTCCTTAATTTCAGTTCCAGGGAATTCGAAGCCTTCTTCAGACCTCCGCAGCATTGCATGACACGGGTGCACTCACACACATAGGCAATACACTTGTACACATAAAAATAATAAATATTTTTTAAAAAATCTATAATACAGCGAATTTATGTCAATACAATATTTTTAAAAATCATCTCCAGTGCACGCCTTTAATCCCAGCACTTGGGAGGCAGAGGCAGGCAGATCTATGTGAGTTCGGGGCCAGCCTGGTCTCCATAGCGAATCCAGCCCAGCTAGGGCTACGGGGAGACCCTGTCTCAAAAAGACCAAAACAACAACAAAAAAATCATCTCCAGAACCACTCTCTGCACATGCTCTATACAGTCAGACCTTAAACCAACAGGAAACAAATACAACTATGTGCTATCTTGCCAGAAGATGAGCTCTATCAAGAGTGTTACTAAAGGTAATCACTTTAAAAGTCAACAGCTAATCACATCTTCAAAGTACTATAATATCAACAAGCACCTAGATTAGTGTTTGAATAATTAGATACTATACCTTGAGTTGACATAACAATCATCACATGCAGATTTCTCAGTTAAAATTTACTTTCAAGGCTAGAGAAAGCATTTTTAAAAGATTTCTTTTTTTTTTTCCTCCCCCCTGCTTTAAAGAGATATAAACTTTCAGCATGGACAGACACCATTAAGCAAAGAGGAGCAGTCATTTTTTTCAAAACTATTTGGAGGAAAAAAAAAATTCCTTTAAACTATTTGCCTCCACAGAACATGATCAGTCTTCAGAGGTTCTTATTTACTTACTACTTATTTACTTTTTATGAGTGTTGTGCCTGTATGGATATTAAGTGTACCAGTGCATGCAATTACTGTGGAGGTCAGAAGAGGGCATCAGATCTCCTGGAACTGGAGTTACAAAAAGTTGTTAGCCACCATGTGGGTTTCTAGGAACAGAACTTGGGTCCTCTAAAGAGCACATAGTGCTCTTAACTGCTGAGCTGTCTCTCCAGCCCCAGCTCTATTATTTTATCTACACTTTAAAAACAATTTCATGTTTCAAAAATTATATTCAATTCAAAAACAGAAACCACACCTTAAAAAATGGACATTTTAGAGTCTTTCTTAAAATGGTCTCAAATAAATTCCCTGTTGCATTTTTAAAAAAAATGAGTTAAAATTCTTTTATTGGCAAGTCAGCCATCCATTAAGTACCTACTAAGTGCCAGGCACTGTTCAAGGAACCTGAGGCTAAATCACTGAAGAAAGAGTTTGTATTCTGGCAAGACAACATCTTTATCCAGCTATTTTCTCTTTGAACATAATAACTTGAGTATTAAGAGTTATGAAATTATTTCTGAAAAAAAAATCTATGTGCTGGGCCCTTTCAGTTCTGAAAATGACTTTCTAGGAGATCCTGTTTGATTATTATCATAGATTGTGGACTCTCCAGCCTGGGTCCAAATCCTGGTTCCACTACTTACCAGCTTGACCTGGCCCAACAAACTTAATCCTCATCTGTAAAACAAAAATAATACTAGAATCTGGTGAGATGGCTCAGCGGGTAAGAGCACTCACTGGCTGCTCTTGTAAAGGACTGGGGTTTGGTTCCCAGCACCCACTCGGCTGCTAACAGCCTGCTGTAACTCTAGTTCCAGGGAATCTTCTGACCTCAGTGAGTATTGCATGTATGTGTTGCACTTACATGCAGACAAAACATTCATACACATAAAATAAATAAAATAATCTTAACTACCCTATTGGATTACATAAGTAAATGAGCAAGGAATGCACAAAAACACTTAGCTTGGCACACAGAAAGTACTGAAGTATTAGATATTATTATTTTAACTCAATTTCCAGAAAACCACACATTATTCAGGCAATATGGATGAAACTAAAACCAAAGGTAACTTTTTCATCTTGCATATTTACTCCCTCCCTACTTTATCACTTTCGAAAGTCCTTCCTCTATCCTTAACTTACTTTATACAAGAGTTAAGTTTTACAAAGATGTAAAATTTGAATATCCCATTCACAACATCAATTCATTATGGAAGTTATGTAAATACGTAATTAAGCGGCTTTAATCTCCTGAAAGAAAAATTTAAGTCAGGTGTGGTGGTTGGTTTATGCCTTGTAATCCCACTATTAGGGAGGCCTGAGGCATAAGAAGCAAGAGTTTCACTCAGACCTGGGTTGCATTCATTTTCTTTAAAATGACAACAGCAATTGTTTGAAGAAAACTTAAATCATCAGAAGCGACAAAATACCTCTATTTATAATACCTGGCTCCAATGCCCAAATAGGTACATAGCGTTTTCAGTCTGTAGGACATATACCTTTGCACTCGTGCATGAGTATTGAGTCATGAACTCAATTCTCAAACTGGATAATGGCATATAATAAAATACACAATCAGAGCTATCTGAAATTGATTTCTCATACACTTTTGTTAAAAAAGGAAGCCTGCTTTTTGGTTCAAGGTTTATAAGGAGGTCAATAACCTCAGAAGGGCCAATGTCCACAATTTACAAGTGAGCATGGAGAAGGTATATGCTGCAAGTATTACTTTCTCCCAGGCCACGTACCTTTATTAGCAAAACTGCTTACAAGCAAGACAGACTAGCAAAACCCATTTCCAAAGCTGCTTCGAAGGGTTCAATTCCGCTAAGGAATAATACAAAATAGAGTGCAAGCCTGATCGTGCCTTAACACCTCCCCACAATAGTAGTATAAAACCACGATCAGGTGCATAATCTATCTTAATTCACAGGTAGAATTCTGATCCTAATCTCGAGGTGAAAGCCTGTAACGGTATGCCTCCCTGGAGAGCACGGCATGACTTTAAAACGGCGGCAAGGAAAGACCCTAGTCTCAAAAAGTGAAGCTGGTTATCTTTAAAGCACACCTGCAGAGCGTCAAAAATGATAATGCAGGAGGGTGTAAGCGGCACCAGAACAGCGGATCTGCCCCGGACTCTCGACCGAGACAGGGGTGACCTCCTTCGACCGCCGTGGGCGGTGAGGCCGCAGCGTGGAGGGCGCGGGCCAAGAGGGCGGTCTAGGCCGCGGGATGGCGCGCGCCGGGCAGTTTCTGTCAGAGACGCCCGCGGTGAAGGTGCCCTTTGGCCTCACGATGCCCCGCACGGACCTGGAGCCCAGGCTACCTCTCAGGATGTTGGGGCGTCCACAGATGCCCGCCGCACAGGCCGGAAGACAGCTCCCCGGATGCTGCTGCAGTGACCCTCAGCAGGGCGACCTGGCCCAGCGTGGGTCACGGTGCAGAATCGCGGACACAAGGCCTCCAGCGCCGAGGGCCCGGCCAGCCGCGCCCACTAGCAATGCGCTCGCAGCACCCGTGCGGCTCGTGCGGACTGGCCGCCGCGCAGGGCACCACGGGACTCGTAGTTCTGGCGCGCCGGAAACCACACTCCAAGCCCGGCCGCCAGGATACTACTCCCGGCTGCACTCCCCGGAAGTGACGTAACAAGCCACGCGTGGCGCCGGCCGGTGTTTCCGCAAACAGAATTGTGGATGACTGTGTTGGTGAGTGTGGCGTACGGTGTTCCAACCTGTCCTTGTTTCTTTGTCTTTACCATTGCGCTGAGAGCAGAAACAGACTGAGCGGTGCGACCTCTGTCCTGTCTGGCTTCCCATCAGCCCTCGGGCCTTTAATACCCGCCGCGTGGGGCTTATTGTGCCGGTAGCCGGAAGCAGAGTGGGTGCTGCTTGGGGTGCTGTTGGTCCTCTAGACCACACGAGCCTAGTGCAGGGACGCTGGAACCTGCTTGTGATTACGTGGAGGGGCTGTGTAAAGGCTGGGCCAGGTGAAGTGGTGGGAGGGGAGGAGGGTCGGCTCTGTCGGGACCAGCTCCCGGAAAGCTGAACCTCGGCTGAGTAAAAGGCTGGGCCCGTGACTTAACAGTTGAACTTGGCCTTTTCACCTTTTGCTGCGTAGTATTGCGCCCCTCAATGGACAGTCAAGTTGACCTTTAGCGAGCGGAACCTGAAGTGTCCAGAATATAATTTACTTTAGAGGAGTTGTGACCCAACTTGCAGGTCACAACCTGTGACCCAACAAGCCAGGTTGGCCACCTGTCCTCAAGCCAGTTAAAAGAACCAAATTAATAGGAAAAGCAGGAAAAAAAGGAGTTATATTTAGTATGATCCATTGGAAAGAGGGACAGAGAGATCCAGCAACGCCTCTTCCGTTCTGTGAGGCTGGTTACAGTGTGACTGCAAAGCCTGGTCAAAATACCCATCTCCATGTCCATCTACTCTTCACCCTAATTTCCCTTTGCCACTATTCTATCAGGACAACTTTACTGTTTTGAGTATTTTCATTACTGTTGTTGATGGTATTATTACTATGTTGTTGTTGATGGTATTATTACTGTTGTTGTTGTTGTTGTTCTGAGGCTGGGAATCAAACCCTGGGCCTTAAGTATGCAAGTGTGAACAAGAATTCCTGGAAAGGAGTTGTGACTACAAAGACAGATTGATAGAACTTCAGTGATGTGGAGAGGGTGGAAGGTTGTAAATCCAGATCCAAATTATCTTGGTCCATCCTTAGTCCCCTTATTTATTGCCCTCCCCTGCATGCGATCTAACCTCTTTGTGACCATTAGGTAAATCCTTTGGAATGTACAACGAGACTCTTAGTTCCTACCAATCAAAAGGCTAAGAATTCTGTCACATATAGTTGAGATTTATTTCCTTGCTTTTCTTTGACCCCCCCCACCTGATGTTTCTACTAATGTATTTGAAAGATGTCAGGATTTATGATTTCTTTGTTCCATTACTGTAAAACTTGGAACATTGAATTTGAGGTAGCCTGATCCTGTGTTCCCAGGCTATAATCACTAATATCTGGCTCCAGAACAAACTGTTTCTTGCTCCTTTGAGATGAGAGATATTTCTTGTGGGGATACTAGGCAGAGTGCTCAATAACTGAGTTGTTCAACATGCAGTTCTAAACATTCTTACCCAGTAGTCTGGAAGACTCTTTTTAGGATGGTACATTTTTATAAGTATAGATTGTATAAATAAAATTCATCCTTGAATATCAATACTGAATTTAGGCAATAATTACAGCTAAAGGTAACATTTCACATTGCTTTATTATTTGAGTATAAAAATAATTTTAGGTAATAAATGGCAGAAGAGGAAATGGAACTGGCTAATTTGATGGCCAGTTTTAGAACTTATAGAAATTATTCTTCAAATTGCTTTTCTAGTTGATTTTACTGTTTTGTTCTCTGATTTAGTTATTCCTATGTGACACCTTTTAATATTTTGTTATTTTGAGTGTTGGTTAGTGAAAACGAATGCCTCCTGAAATCCTTCCCAGTGGCTTATTTTTAACTTCTCTTAGGCAGTTTTACTTTTTGTTTATGCAAAAAACCTTTAAAAAGTAATTTCCCTCTTCATAACTTTCAGGGTCTGAAATTTCTGAATTTCAGATTCTTTAGGCTTTTGCTTTCCTTTCTCTACTTATTTCAGTAACACAGCCTGCTATTTTAGTGAAGACAATTCACATTGAGCTTCTTTGTAGTAGTAGGTCAGTAAATTAATTGATTTAATCAGTAGACAGCCATAACAATTCCTGTTTAATAGATAATTGTTACTTGCCTCTCCTTCCTGTTTTCTACATAAGCCTCAGAACATATTTGAAAGAGACTTAATGGTCATTGCACTCAAGGCTGAGTCATCAAACCATTCTAAGACTATTTCCACTCTTCACTTTATATGTGATTCCAGTACCCATTTTGATATAGGGACTTCAGGTGTCATGACTGTAGGTTTCTGTGGTAGTTGCTTTTGCATAGCTAAGATACCTAAGGGAACAACATTAAAGGAATGATTCATTTTGACTCATAGTTGCTGAGATATCAGGGCATAATCCTTGATTTTGGTGATTTGGAGCCCGTGGTGAGGGGTGAACATCATTTTGGTCTGGTGGTGAGGCAGAATGGTAGGATCGCTAAATAGTATAAAAGAGAAACTGTTCACCCCTGGTCAGTCAGGGAGGGGTTGCAGGTGATTGGGTATAATTTGCCTACCTCCTCCAATTAGCTTCCACCCCCTAAAGTTTCTAGAACCGCCCAAAATAGTGCCACTGAAGACCAAACATTCAGCACATGACACTGTAGAAAATTTCACATTCAAACCATAGCTCTGCTCCTCGCCCAAAGATTCATGACTATTTCATAATGCAAAATGGATTTAGTCCCTAGACTTTTAGCAGTTCCAGTGTTGTCCAGAAATCTAAGTTCAAAGTCTCCTGACACTGAAGGCAAACTCTTAGCAGTAAGGCCCTAAAAAAATCACAGAGGAACTCACATGGTGATTCTGGTAGGAGCTCAAAAGACCAGCGTGCCATCAGGAGTTCAGACAGTGAAGGCCAGGCTTATCAGGTTTCAGAGGGTAACAGGGGTGCTTTAGGGAATTGGACTACAGGCTATTCATGTTATATTTTGCCCAAGAATTTGTAAAGATTTGTCCATACCCTGAAACTTTGTAGGAGGCCAGATTTAAAGGTAACATACTAATCTGGTGAAGAAAATTTCAGTTTTTAATAGCATTATTATTGCAAGCTCCTCACCAGGTTTACAGTGAGACTCTGAAGCAGAAACTTGCAGTTTGTTCAGAACTATCATGTTATACTAGGCTTTCTATAGCCCACTTAAACAAATTGCTCCAAATTCAAACCAGTTCAAGTATCTGAACCATTGTCATTTAGTCAAAGCACAATAACCTTACTTCACTGGTGCTGGTTTTATTTGCTTTTGGATCACTGTGACCAGGTGCCTGAGAAAAATAATTTAAGGGAGGAAGGATTATTTTGGCTCATTGTTTCTGAGGATTCCATCCATGATTGCTTAATCCCTTGCCCTTCGGAAGAATACCATGGCAACAGTAGTGTGTGGCTAAGGAGCTTCCTTGCCTCAGTGATGGACAGGAAACAGAGAGGAAGTTACTAAGGACCAGGCAGGCATAGCTCTCAAAGGTATGCCTCCATTGACCTACATCCTCCAACTATGCCCTGTGTTCTCAAATTTTCCAGAATCTCCTAAAATAACATCATGACATGGGGGCCAAGCTTTCAACAGGTGAGACTTGGGGGAAACATTTTATATTCAAATACTTTAAAAACCAAACCAGATCTTTTTTCCAGAAGTTTAGTCCAAAGGAACTTAATAAGTATATCCTAACACTTTTGTGCATCTGTAAAAAAATAATACACACTCAGGTGGCACATGCCTTTAATCCTAGCCCTTGGGAGGCAAAGGCAGGCAGATCTGAGGCCAGCCTGGTCCACATAGTGACTTCCAGGCAGGCTGGAACATGGAAGACCCTGTCCAAAAAAAATAAATTTAATATACACAAAGAAGTAGTAGTAGTAGTAGTAGTAGTAGTAGTAGTAGTAGTAGTAGTAGTAGTATTTGTATTTGTGTTTAGTTCTTAATTGACCACAACTGCTTAGTGATGAGTATGTGAACCTGATGGCTACTCCAAGTCACTTTGGTTTCTGGATTAGAGATGTGAAACCTGTGTTTGTATATCTTGATGCATTTGTCTTTCTTTGATGCCTGTAGTGACTTTTATAAATAAGATTGTAGATGTTTGGGGGTTTTCTAGTTAATGCTACTATATATTCATAACTTCATACATAATGCTGATATAAATTTTCAATCCAGGTTTTTCCAGCCTTTTGACATTATGACACAATGTTGACATCTGTTAAATTCACACTTAAGAATTGAACAATTCAGTTTCAAAAAGAATTGAAGAAAAAAAAAAAAAACTCAGTGGTTTGTTGTTTTTGAGACAGGGTCTCCCTGTTGCCCCAACTGGAACTCTCTGTGTAGACCAAGCTCCTCTGCCTCCAGAGTGCTAGGCTGAAGCATGTGCTACCACCACCCTTCTACCCAGAACACTCGGAAAAGGGGGGTGGTGTTAGTTGTCTCTGAGGTATTGGCTAGGAGAAAAGATGTGCAAGTGCTGACCATTTCCAAATATCATATTATCTTTGTTGCGATCTCACAGAATGGAGGTGGGGAGAACTGGCTTCTTGTTTACAGAACGATGTGTAGCCCTTGGAAGTCACCACTACCATTTTTACAAGAAAAATGTTTTAAGTAAGTTTATTATCTTGTGTTGGGCCACATTCATAGCTGTCTTGGACCACATGGGCTGCAGGTTGGACATGCCTGCATGATTGAGGTTGTTTTAAACTTGTGCTTACCACCGAAACAAAATGGCTCAGTTCGTTGACATTACCTTGTTGTCTTACCATTAGTGTTTATAATGGTCACATCAATTTTTTTGCCATTCCAGTGTTGGTTCATGAACTGTTGGTTCAAGTAATCGGAAATGGAAAGTTCTGCAAAAGTATCTAAATATGATACAATACCTCCTGAACAAGTGAGAGTGTCCATAGATTCTGAAAAAGAACCTCCATTCTGTGTTCATGAAACCACAGCTGCATCTGGGCCCAGGCTTTCTGAAGAGACTCCTACAGGTGACAAACCAAAAAAGAGAAAAGAGTTTGACAATGATCTTGGAGAGGAAGATACTCCATCCAAGAAAAGAAAATTTGACGTTGAAATTGTCTCAGAGGAAAAGCGTTCTGCTGATAATGAAGGCATTTCAAAGAAAAGAAAACTGGAAACTGATGATGTTTCAAAAGATGAACCTTCCACTGGAAGTGCTATTCAGAAAAAGAGAAAACGAGGACTTGAGGATGTTCCTGAGAAGCAGAAAGTACGTTGACCAGGATGTGTGGGGCAGCTAAGGAATTGTATTAGTTTTTACATAGTTTAAGAATGTTCTCCTTTGAATAAGTACCAGCTGAAAGGCACAGTAAGACTTTTAACTCTTAAAATTAAATTTTTGTTAAAGTAAAACTTAGGCTGAGATAATTTCTGTGTTATTTCAGAACTCTTATTTAACCAGAAACTTGAAAGCTAGTTTCTATAGTTTATTTTTTATTGATAATTGTTAAGAAGATAGGTATTGTGGTCCAGTTGATTCACTCTGTCCTTTTTATGAGGTGTCCAAAATGGTGAAATGATCACTTAAAGTAATAAATGTTGAAATCATACACAACTTTATTTTCCTTTATTAATGTCTAAACTATAATTGTTTCTAGCTTCCAGTCTGGTTTACACATAAATAAGTATGTATACAACTAAATATAGTTTTGATTGAGTGGGTGCAAAAGACTAATCTGGACCAAGGAGCAAGGAATAGCAAATCCCTTGCATGTTGGGAAGGATTCTGAGGCAGAGTCTGGAATTGGGGAAGATAGTAAATTGAGTAAAATTTTGCTATCAGCTCTGAAGTCAGACCTTTGTCCTTTATGTCTTTGTGAAAAGAAAAGCTTCTAGTTTTAAATCTAGTTTTTCAGACTTACTAACAGATTTTTTTTAAAGTGAAATTTGACTCAAATTTGATATGTAAAAAAATAGGCTCTTTGAAAAGAGAGGTAGAAGAATTTGAAGGCCTTTGCTTACTGTGGAATTTTTTTTTTAGTGTCTAGGCTTTTACAAAATTCATACTGAATACTTGCATATTAAGTTAATAGCGTGTAACTGAAGTCACAGACATTGAATGTTACCTACTGAATTCTAATTCCCTTATGTATGTATTATTTAGCCCTCACAGTAGTTTCATTATAAAATAAATGTAAATAGCTTAGTTTTCTTTTATTCCCTTTTGGGAAGCCTATCTATTGACTGTAATTTATTGAACTGAATACATCAAAATTCTGGAAGAATAATAGTTTTCTTAAGACATTGGTGTTTAAATTGTACAGATGAAGGTCAAGATGAAAAATTTAAGGCTAGAGAGATTTTTTCATAAGCAATAGGGGAAAACCCATCTTTGGTTTGGTAATAGCATTTCGTTACTCTCTGGGTACGGCCATTGCTTAGTGAAATTCACTTCAGTAGTGTTTTTGCCTGCCATAGGTCAGGTGTTAGTGATTTCCAGCCATGTTCTAATCCTTGATTTCGTTCTTTTCACTTTCAGACCCTGGAAGAAGGACATAGCTCAGCTGTGGCTGCCCACTATAACGAGCTTCAGGAAGTTGGCTTGGAGAAGCGCAGTCAAAGTCGCATTTTTTACCTAAGAAACTTTAATAATTGGATTAAAAGTATTCTTATTGGTATGATTGTTTTTTGCTTTTTAGTTGAGAGTTTTTAAATTTTATTGAATTAATTTTTTTTGTAGGGCTAGACATTGAACTAGTGGCACATGCTAAGGCAAGTGCCCACGACGGAACTGCATCCACTGCTTTAGTGTTTTGGGTTTTGTTTTTCCCCTCCCCAGTGTTAATCGCATAGCAGGCTACCAAGTGTATTATTTTTCACTTAGTGATCAAACCTTGGCTGTTAAAAGCTAGAACCAGAGCTGGAGAGATGACTTATCTGTTAAGACCACTGTCTGCCCTTGCAGAGGATCCAGGTTTGCTTCCTAGCACCCACATGGCAGCTAACAACTGTCTATTATGCCAGTTCCAGGGGATCCAACGCCCTCTTCTGACCTCCACAGGCATTGCACCACACACATGTGCACTTACACACATGCAGGCAATACACTCATACACACAAAAATAATAAATAAAATAAAAAGCTAGAACCAAAACTAGACCTTTGAGATAACTTCCTTTGTTTAGTTTTGGTTGATTGTGTGGAATATTAATAAGTATTTAATAGATAGTAAGCCAACTTTCAGTAGGCAGTATGCTGCTTTATACTTGAATGCTGTTATCCAATATTGTTACACATTTGTTTTACTATAGTAGTTTTGGAGCAATGGCATATTGTTGCATTAACCATGCAGTTTTCATTAAGTCAAGAAAAGTGTCATGATTTTATCTTGAACCTTTAGTGAGTTAGCATTAGTGATCCATTGAACTTGTTTTTCTTACATGATTTCATGGAGAAAATAATGTTTACTTCTAGGATTGATGAAGACACTCATCTTTGGAGCCAACATTTTGTCTGTGGAAACATCTTTAAAATTTAAATGGAAATGAGTAGAGAAAATATGACTTAGAATTTAAGTGTGCTTTGTCTAGTTAAGGTAGACTTATGAAAGTTTAGAGAACTTTTTAAAGGGTATTTTAAGGTAAAGTTTTCACAGTGAAGGTTTTTTTGTTGTGTTTTTTGTTTTTATAGTCAAAGTAAAAGTGGGAATTCTTTATTGTACTAGAAAGAACAAAGTGGTAATTATGAGAATATTCTTCTAGTTTTGATGCTGATTTAGTGGTTTTTAAAGAAAAATGGGTTTAGGGAGATAACTTAGTCTGTGAAGTGTTTGTTTTAAGAACATGAGGACTTTGATTGCTAGAACTCACCATATACAGTGTCCTAGACTGTTTAATCTCAGCTCTGGGGAGTCAGAAGCAGATAGATCTTGGTGATCAGTGGCCAGCCAGCCTAACCTATTTAGCAAGCTCCAAGGCAGTGAGAGACCCTGCCTCCAAACAAGGTGGATGAGTTAGCTCCTGAGGAACATTTGAGGTTGTCCTCTGGCCTTCATATTATACATGCACTGATTCACACACATGCTCCGATGTGCATACTCATAAACACAGATAACTGATTCATTCTGAGACATGTTGGAGTAGGAACTAACTAGGCTCATTTCAAATACAGGTTAGTATTTTCTGTCTCACTTTTGTTAAAATTCCTGTTTTATTACAACAATGTGATTTATTTGACAGTTGTTGGCTAGGATGAAAGAGTGGTGACTTGGTTTTTTTTTTTTTTTTTTTTTTTGAGGTTACTATTGTATTTTTCAACAACTTCTGTTCTTTTTTTTTGAGACAGGGTCTCCTTGTAGCCCTAGCTGTCCTGGAACTTACTATGTAGACCAGGCTGGCCTTGAGCTTCTGTTCTTTTTAAAATTTTTTTTTTTATTTTATGTGTATGCGTGTTTTGCCTGCATGTATATAAGTGCACCTGTGTTGTACAGTGCCTTTGGAAACCAGAAGATGGAGTCAGATCCTCTAGAATTGGAGTTTGGGGTGGTTGTTAGCTATTCAAAATGGATGTTGGGAACCCATCTCAGGTTCCCTGCAAGAGTAGCCAGTGCTTTTAACTACTGAGTATTCTTAACGTTCTTTTTGTACCCTAGTCCTAATTTCAGATTTTCTCTTCCTTTCTGTCTTCAGTGAAGCAGGTAATTGGACTGTTTGTGACATATTATCTCTTTATGTATCTTTTTTATTGAATACCTATTTTTGAGTCCATATTTTTATACTTTACATTATTTTTACACTTAGCAAAATGGGCAGTTAATTTTTCTCTCATATCCTGGGGATTTTTATTCTATAGCTCTTTTGGTAATTTGGTGAGTGCTTTGCTATTCAAACTGTCTTTCTGCTCCTGCAATTAGTAGAATCTATGCCAAGCCCTCTCTCCCTCTCTCTCTCTGGCTTTTCTTTTCTTTTCCTCAACACATTATTGATTGTTCATTTTCTTTCATCTTGGTGTTTACACCTTAGTAGTTCTTGAATGTAATAGAGGTTTCTTTGAAAATAATAGTTTATCGTAATTTCCTTTCCTACTAGTCTTACTATGGAGAAATAAAATATTTTATGATTACTGCTTCTTTTCAACGTTTTTTTTTTTCATGCTGTTTTCGTAAGATGCATGATAGGAACTTAAATATGGAAAACTGTGCTGCCTGGAAGCTTCTTTTGGATTCCATATTGAAAGGCAGAAGTATTGGTACTGAATATTTTAGCCATCAAAATAGTGAATGCTTATCTTTAAGGTATTAAACTCAGTAGTGAAAAAACAGGGAGAATAGATCTAGGATTCATTATTTTATCAAGTTTCAGTATTGCTGAATATTTCACTTGTCTTCAATTACTAATAAGCCTTTAAAACTATATTTGAACTTCTTGCCTATTGGTTTATGGGGACCTATGAATTTATTTGTTAATGATTAATGTGATACAGTAGATTGAGGTGTTTAAGAATACTGATGATGGTGAAATTAAAAGGTAGGTAAAGTTTTTTGACTAACTTGAATTTGTGGGGCTAGGGGTAAACCTGACTTGAGAATGGTAAGAATCTAGTGCTTTTATCATTCCATAACTGTTTCAATTTATTTAAATGTATAAGAAGTTAAACATCTAGTTGTAGAAGGAGATAAAAACTAAAAAAGGCAAATTAGTTTTTCTCTTATCACACGTGTTACAGCTTTTTGTATTAATTGGAACTTAAATGTCATCCATTTAATGTTGACTCAGATTTTGAGTATAACCTCAAAAAACCATTTTAACTTTGTAAAATGGTATATGTGTACTCTTTAATGATAAAGGATCAAGTTAATTAGTCTTAGTTATATTTTGAAACACCAATTGCAGATTGACTATATAAATTAATGTGTTTGTATTGTATGCAAGACAGAGTCTACTAGATTATTAAAGGAATTGCTTTAGTGAAAATAGAAAAAATGTACTATGACTGTTTTTTCTCTTTTTTAGGGGAATTTTTAGAAAAAATACGACAGAGGAAAAACCGTGACATCACTGTTTTAGATCTGGGATGTGGAAAAGGTGGAGATTTGCTCAAGTGGAGAAAGGGAAGAATTAGCAGGCTAGTCTGTGCTGGTAAGAAGATACTGACATGGAAAAGCATGATTGGGGCCGGGGGGTCTGTGAGATGGCGTAGTGGGAAAAATACATGTGCAAGTCTGACAACCTGAGTTCAATCCCCAGAACCCACATAAAGGTAGAAGGGGAGAATGGACTTCTGAAAGTGGTCCTCTCACCTCCACATGGGTGTTGGCGATCATGCTTTCATTGACTTCGTTTTCTCTCTCTCTCTCTCTCTCTCTCTCTCTCTCTCTCTCACACACACACACACACACACACAGATATACAATTTCTTTAAAGAACAGGATTATTTTTGGCCAGTCAGGTACATGGGAAACTGGAAGGGTCTCCTTACCAACATGCTTAAATAGCTGAGGGTAACCTGTGCTAAGAGCTATCCATGTGGTAAGTGTTTTGAAAAATTAGTTAGAAGTCTTTCCTGATGTTTTTGTAATACCATTAATAAGGCTTGGAGAACTTGTCTTTCCCAAAAGTAAGGACACTGAAAGATGATGTGAGTCTTGTCTATAAGACAACCTTAGTTTTCTACTGACCAAGATAGGACATTTAGACATCAAAAAGAGTAGTGAATGAGCACATCAGCTAAAGAGGAAAACCTTGCTAATCTTTTGGAAGCTGCTTAGAGACTTTATTCTAAAACTGATAGGCTTAAGGGGAGAGAATCATTTTCTTACCTCCAACATGAGCAGTATTTCAGGATAAACGATTGAAAAGTATATTCTGTTGAAAAATCATAATGAAGGGCTGGAGAGATGGCTCAGTGGTTAAAAGCACTGTGTTTTCTTGCAGAAGATCAGGTTCGCGTCCCTGTACCCACATGATGGCTAACAACTGCCTGTAACTCCAGTTCCAGGAGATCCGATGGCTGCCTCTTTGGCCACTGCATGACATGGGTGCAGTTACATACATGCAGGCGTAACACTCATACACATAAACTAAATATTTTTTTAAAAAAGAAAAAGAAAATAAATGAAGGAGGAATAAGAGAATTAGAAATCACATTTTTTTTTTTTTTTTTTTGCACTTTTGAAGAGTTGATAGAAATAGAGAACTATCATGAAAATATACTGAAGCCAGTGTGGTGGCGCACGCCTTTAATACCAGCACTTGGGAGGCAGAGGCAGGTGGATCTCTGAGTTCGAGGCCAGCCTGGTCTACATAGCAAGTTCCAGGTCAGCTGGGGCTACAGGGAGACCCTGTCTCAAAAAGACAAAAAATAAATAAATAAAGCTTAATGAGAATTCTGACATTTTTATATTTTTGCTAGTCTCTTTAGAGGCAGGAATACTAGGACAAGTCAGTCTTCACAAATGTTTCTGTTTTTACCATGTTACTATGTTATTTTGGTGGATAAGTGCTTATACATGAAGGGTGTTAGCCTTTCCAGATAATTGTGCATGTTCATCTTTATTCAGCATGTAAAGTCAGCAAGTAGTACAGTTCTATAAGCGTCAGATTCAATATGGAATCTGGAACCTCATTGTCCATACTTTATTGCACTGAAATCCATTGGTCTGTCTTACACTTTGAGAATGATTTTGTAATATATGGAAAATACTGATTACAAATCTTGTGACTATTGACACCAAGAAATCAATTTTTTTTTTTTTTTAATATCACCACCAAGCATAAAAATCTTAAGTTTTGGGAAGATTTTCACCCCATATAGTTGATACAATTTTTTTCAGAATTGTGCTTTTCACTTGAAAGTCAAATTTTATCTTTGACAATAAATACTATCCTTTGTATTTCTTGAAATGATACTGTTTCTTTTCAAGAAAACATGTTCAAGATACTTGAAGTTTGACTAACCATAATTTATTAGTCATTTTTTTCCACGTTAAAAAGACTGGGAGAGCATGACCAATACAGCTCACAACTCAGAAAAAGCATGCTAGGTGCTGTTAGTAGCAAATTATTTCTTATTTTACCACACGGAATATTGAAAGATGAATTCAAGGGCCACGACTGATTTTTATTGCTTTATCAAGGGTATTCAAATTGAAAACTGTTTTCCCCTACAGGAAAGAACACAGCACATTCTTAGTTCTATTTGGTGCTGCTGTTTTGCATTTATCATCAGGGACTGTATCCCTGACACTGCCCAACCCCCTACACCATTGCCTTTACAAACCTCAATGCAAGGGATGAGGCAGAAATATATTAATGTGAAAATAGTAACTTGATACAGGCTTATGGTTTCTGTTGGATTTTACAACTTAAATTGAAATCTAAATTTTCTGCTTCTAACTTTAAATGAATATTTAAAAATCAGGGCTGGCAATATGGCTCAGATCCCTAGAACCCATGGTGGAAGGAGAGACCAACTCCTGAAAGTTGTCCTTTGGCTTCCACACTCATGCACTTGACATCACATTCACATGCACACATCATGTACCCAGTAATAACAATATGCTATTATTATATTTTTTTAGTATAAGTACCTATTAAGAAAGCATCTCTAAAAGAAATAAAGCTTTATTCCTTATGGAAAATAATTGGGCATTTACACTGGGGCAAAGGAAACCAAACCTTTTGTTTTAAAGGACCTAGAACCTTAGAACCTTTTATTTGTCTGAGGACTAGATTTCATGCCACACTCACTAACTTGCTTGTCTGTGTTGATGTTGACTAACACTCTTTCACCCTTCCAGATATTGCTGATGTTTCTATGAAACAGTGTCAGCAGCGTTATGAAGACATGAGATGTCGTCGTGATCATGAATATCTTTTTAATGCAGAATTTATAACTGCTGACTGTTCAAAGGTACAGCTGTTTGTTTTCTTTCTTAGTATGTTTTGTTTTTATAGTGCTAAGCATTGAGTGCAGGGCTTTGTGCATGCTTCATCCCCAATTTAAAAATCCACTCATTTGTTAAAATATGATTTGAAACATTAGAAAACCCCAGGACCTGTAGAAATCCTGTTTAAATTCCTGGATACTTTGGGGGAAGGTTTTACTTTTTAATAATTTGAGATTTTTGAAGTCATTTGCTGCTTTTTGATTTGGATAAGGCTGATTTTCCAGTATAACCATCCCTCAGTACCTGGGGGATAGGGTATTGGTTCCAGGAACCTCTAAAATCCACAGAAACTCAAGTCCCTTCTATAAAATGGCATAGTATATGTCGATAACCTCTACATATACTGGTGTATAGTTTACAACCTCTACACATACTTATGTATAGTTTATACTGTTTCTAGATGACTTTATTATATGCAGTACACTGAAACTTCTATGCAAACAGTTGTTACACCGTATTATTTAGGGAGTAAATATCAAGGAAAAGAAATCTATACAGATGCGTATTTTGTGTTTTGTTTGTTTGCTTTTTAAAGAAATTTTTATTGAGCTTTTGTACAATTCATATAATAGTTCTTAATCAAATTTAGTGTCAGTGTATTTTAGCTCTCAAGGCCAATTGAAGGGAGTGACTTAAAATGTTACATACTTGAAACATTTTTGTATTATATCTGTACAATGCATGTGTGTATATGTGTTGGTGTGTGAGGTGTGAGTGCACACAGGTGCTATGGCATATATGTGGAGGTCAGAGATCAACCTCATATACAAGTCCTCACCTTCCACCTTGTGTGAGGCAAGGTCTATCTCCTTTGCCACTGTTTTTCATACTGTAGGTTGGCTGGCCAGCACACCTCAGGGATCTGCCTGTTTGCCTCCCCAGTACTGGGGTTACAAGCCTATGCCACTGTGCCCAGCTTTTTTACACAGGCTGTGGATCTAACACTGGTACTTATGCTTGTGCTGGCGCCCCAGCCCTGACATTGTTATTTTAAAGTCAGAATAAAGAATTTCTTTTGTAGTCCTTACTATTATGCTATTATACTATTATATATATATATATCAAGAGAAAGAATAAAGACTGCTGAAAACTATTGGTTGTTGTTAGGGTATATCTACTTTTATTTCACAACAAAGCTTTTAATCTGAATGGCAATTAGTTCAGAACCTTAAACTATTTACATCTGTTATAGGAACTTTTGGCTGAAAAATTCCATGATCCTGAAATGCGCTTTGACATGTGCAGCTGTCAATTTGCTTGTCATTACTCCTTCGAGTCCTTGGAGCAGGCTGACATGATGCTCAGAAATGCTTGTGGAAGGCTCAACCCTGGAGGCTATTTTATTGGGACCACACCCAATAGCTTTGAACTGATGTAAGTAGTTTGAATCCACTTGAAGTCTAGTCAGGTTTCTTTTAAAATTACATCACATAGTGTTTCACATGCACAATATGATTGCTATGATCAAAAATACTAATCATGATTTCAATGTTTCTTTTGGTTTGGGGAATAACCCTAATAGAAGACGACTTGAAGCTTCAGAAACAGAATCATTTGGAAATGAAATATATACTGTGAAATTTCAGAAGAAAGGAAATTATCCTTTATTTGGCTGCAAATATGACTTCAACTTGGAAGGTGTTGTGGATGTCCCTGAATTCTTGGTCTATTTTCCATTGCTAACTGAGTAAGAATGTCTTGATCTGTTGCTTTTTCTCTCCCCCACTCCCCCCAGGAAAAGAAAAGGGGAACAAAAATCAATATTGCCACTCATCTGTATTTTAAACGCAGCCCCAAAGAAAAAGCCTAACCTTACTTAAAAAAAATTTGGTAGCCTTAAACCCAGAATTGGCGCTCACTTTAGTTTTCAAGGAAGCCAGTTGTTCCTATTTCATGACAGAAGATACCTGATCTTATAGAGAGCAAAAGCTTTTAGTTATTTGAATGTGTGTAACTTGGTTAATATAAAAATGTGTATCCGTAAGTTAAAGGTCTGTTGCAATATCAGGGGTCCTCAGGGATGGGGGTGAGGTGATGGCGTCAGTCGGATGACATGCAGACACCGGAGACCAGGTTCTGTGATGCAGATCTAAAGTTTATTAGGAAGTGTAGCGGTCTTTATAGGGAATAGGTACCAATTACTGGGCTCCATTAGTGCCACTGTAGCCAATCACCTTAAAGGTGAGGCCAGCCGTCACTGAGACTGTACCACGAGGGACTGGGCAAGCTTTGTACAGCGAGAACAAAGAAATGGGGAATTCACTGGGTGGGGCAACATGGGGCAAGGGTCAGGCCACCTTGGAGTGTGCTCACAAGGCTTGAGCTGATGATCCTGTGGGTTCATTGTGCCTTTACCAAGGCCGCAAAGTAAAACCCCAAGCCAAGACTCTCCTCAGAAGGTCCTTTGACAGAGATGGTGTTGTAGTTTGTTTCTCCATTGCTGTAACAAAATACTCGGACCAGTACCAACTCGGGGAGGAAAGGGTTTATTCACCTTATATCTCCCTCGGGTCACAGTTCATCTGGGAGCCCAAGGGAGGAACTCAGGGCAGGAACCTGGAGGCAGGAGCTGGAGCACAGGCCATGGAGGAACGCTGCTTACTGGCTTGCTCCCTGAACCTGCTCAGCCTGCTTTCTTAGGCAACACAGGCCTACCTGCCCAGGGGTGGCACCACCCACAGTGGGCTGGGCCCTCCCACATCAGTCAAAAATCAAGAAGATGCCCCACAGACATGGCCTGTGGCCAGTCCTATGGAGGCAATTCCCCAATTGAGGCTCCCTCAACCAAGGTGTGTCAAGTTGACACTAAAGCTATCCGGCACAGATGGGTATCTGTGCTGTATTTCAATTTAGCTTTGAAATTGCCTGTTACTGATCTTCACTGTGGATAATAGAATCCTGATTTTGGGTGTGCTCCTCCGTGCACCTTAATTCCTGGGAATTCTAGTGAAGTGCAGGCATAGAAGAAACTTTAGAATTCAGGCCTTTATCAAGTGGCTTCAAGATCTGGTGATACACCAGATCTGGTGATACAAAATCCAACTTAAATAGAGACTGTATATAGATTGACCAAATTTGAAAACATCTTTTGAATATTAACTGAGACAAACAGGAGGTTTTTGTTTGTTTGCTTGCTTGCTTGGTTAGATTTGGCTGGTGATTGTTTGAATTTAGATTCAGTCACATTGTAAAATTACAAGTACAGGATTTTCAGGAGTTACATAGACTAATATAAGAATCTCAATCCCAGCACTCAAGAGACTGATTCAGGAGGGCTGCAATGAATTTGAGGCCAATATGGGCTACCTAGTGAGTCCCAGGCCAGCCTAGGCTACAATGTGAGACTGTCCTAAAATAAAGAAAGTGGAAAGAATGGGAAAGAGACAAATAATATGACAAAACTTGAAAATGCTATGTATAATTTTATAGATATAAGCTACTTTAAAAATTTTAAATTTAAATGACATTTTGCTTTTTATTCTAAAAATAAGCTTTGGGAAATACTACTATTCAACTTCATAAAAGAAGAAATTAATATTCTTTTTCATTTTCTCCTATGTTTTGTTGTGTTTGCTTAACAGAATTATAGTTTCAGTAGACCAAAAAATAAAAGAATGAAGCAGAAGCTTTTTTTCAGTGCTAAGAAAACAGCATTGTTTTCTATTTAAATTGCTTAGTTATAATAAACTTACTTTAATATGTAATTTCATTTCATTAAAATTTTTTATAACTTAATACATGAGTATAGTTTTGATCAAATCCACCTCTTCCCCCCACTTCCTCTTGTCCCATCCACATCAAATTAATGTCCTCTTCTTGTTATTTATTATTATTATGTAACCTACTGAGTCCAATTAGTGTTGCCTGTATATGCATGGTTGTAGGACTTGAGCAACCTGTTGGACTCATCCTTGAAGAAAACTGACTCTCTCTCCCTCAGCAGCTGTCTACTGACTGTAGTTCCTCAACTAGGAGTCGGGCTTTGTGAGCCTTTCTTTGATCCATGCTGGGTTGTTGACCAGTGTGGTCTTGGCACCGATAACTATAGCTGTTGGAGTTCATGGATGTAGTAACCCTCTCATATCCAGAAAACTGTTTTGCAGCAGTCCTCCCAGTCTTCTAGCTTTTAACGGTATTTCCACCCCGTCTTCCACAGTGTTCCCTGGGTATAGGGATTAAGTTAGACTAAGTCCTATTTGGGGATGGGCACTCCATATCACTTATTCTCTGTACTTTGACCAGTTGTGGTTCTCTGTAATAATCTCTGTCCACTGCAAAAATAAGCTACTTTGATGAGGGGTGAGAAGGCAGTTGGGTACTATATCAATTTAGCAAATGGTAGTAGTAGGTTCTCCTCTAGGGGGCTGTCCTCTCCAGCCACTAGTTCTTAGCTAGATTTATAGAACCAGGCATGAGTTCCCTCCTGTTGTGTGGGCCTTAAATCCTATGGGGCAGCTGTTGGTTACCCCCAAGATAGCAATGCCACTCTTGCACCATTGAGCATATCTTGTTGGGCCAGTTGTTACTGCAGTTTGCAAGTTTTGAAGCTGGATGAGACAGCTAGTAACTTTTCTACCCCAGCAGCCTCATGGCAGTTTACAACACTGAGAACTAGTCATTAGGCAGAAGTCTTTTAGGTCAGTACCAGCTTCATTTCTCCTGAATCCTGTGACTGAAGTAAAGAGTTTGGTGTCTTTAGTAGTAGTGTCATTCTCTGAAGTTCTAGCAGACAACCAAGAGCAGTGACAACAGCCTGTAATGTTTTGGGTTAACAACCTGGAAGGATGTTAACCCCTACCCCTACGCTGTGCATTTTGTTGGATAGCCTGTGGCTTCTGAGGGAAGCATTATCGTTCTTCCCAATGTGTGGTAATTCCAGTTAAACTATGTATTTTTTATATGTGTTTTTAAGAAAGCTTATAAATTAAATTTTCCCCATGTTTTTTCAAACATCCTTAGTATTATTTATTCCTCACCCTAACCCTATTCTCCCTCTGCTTTATTCTCCCAGCCCTCTTCATACCCCTCCCCCATTTTTCCCCTTTCCCCCTTCATAGCATCTGTGTTCTATCCTCCTCTCTAGAGCTCCTTCTCTGCCCCTCCCCACAACATGGTTCCTTTCTACTTTCTTGGCTTCTGTGGATACTTCAGATTACATACTCAAATCTAAAGATTGAGATCTAGGATCCACAAAAAGAGAGACAGTGCAGTGTTTGTCTTTCTGGGTCTGGGTTACCTCACTCTAATATTTTCTCTTTCCATACATTTACTTGCAAATTTTATGATTTCAGTTTTCTTTATAGCTGAATGCCATTGTGTATATGTATGACATTTTTATTGTCCATTTGTCAGTTGATATCTAGGCTTTTTCTCTTTCCTAGCTATTGTGAATAAAGTAGCAGTAAACCTGGATGAGCATGCATTCTGAAGTACGATATAGAGGTCTTTGAATATATGCCTAAGAATGGTATGGCTGGGTCATATGGTAGGTCTATTTCTAGCTTTTGGAGGACCCCCCCACACTCATATCTGTAGTGACTGCACCAGGTTGCACTCCCACCAGCAGGAACAAGGGTTCCTCTTCACATCCTCACCAGTATTTATTGTCTTTTGTTTTCTTAATGTTACCCATTGCGACTGGGGTGAGATGAAATCACAAAGCAGTTTTAATTTGCATTCCCTGGTTGTTAAGGATATTGAACACATAGGTTCCTTAGCTATTTTATTTCTTCTTTTGAGAACCCTCTGATCAGATCAAAACCCATGTTTTGTTGAACACATAGGTTCCTTAGCCATTTTATTTCTTTGAGAACCCTCTGTTCAGATCAAAACCCATGTTTTAATTTTTTTTTAGAGAGTTCCATACATCACTGAAACATGAGCAACCTCCCAATTGCCATATCTACAATGCAAGGATGGTTCTACCTCCCCAAGTAACTATGCTGCCAATATCTCTTCAAAATCATGTACTGCATCTCTGCCAGGACCTTGTAATGCCCGTATTTTGATTGTGTTGATTTCCAGCTTAGATGAGTATAGGTTTTTAAAGTATTCCCTAATAATTTTCTAAATTTCTTTGGTGCCTGTTTTAATGTTTCCCTGTTCATCTCCTTTTTAAAAATTATTTATTTAATAACCACATGATTAGAAGAAGCATTTCATTACAGCATTAACATATTCAGTAACAATTTCCAGAGCAAAGATGCATCTGTTCAAAACTGGCTGTAAATTTTTAGGTTCACAGTTGAATTAATACAGTTATACAATATTGAACTCAGTATAAACCCTATAAGACATAATATTGAATGAGGTTTTAACGTTTAAAAAAGATGTTTCATTTTAAAATATACTGTTTCATACAGAAAAACTCATTTTTAATGCTACTAACACTTAGCTGTTTGCACAGGAGTCTCCAATCTCTATGTATCTGATTATTAGTCACAGTTGGTTACTTTCTGAGATCCTTGGACACCTGAGCATGGATATTAAATCATCAGGTAGATTTCAGTGGTAATGTTTTTCATCTCTACTAATTAACATGAAGCAAATTTTTATGCTTCCTCAAATATAACTCATTTTTTAATTTGTTGATTTTGTGTGTGTGTGTATTTCATAAAGACTATCAGAACATCCCATCTATATACCCACATCCCAAATGACACCCCCCCATAGCCTCGCCCCCACCCTCCCCCACCCCCCGGAGCCCATATACTCTGTAGTCCCTGTTACTGTCCACTGTGTTGTCAGCCATTCCCCAGTGCTTGTCCATCCACTGAATCTAATCAGCTTGTCTAGAGTTCCTTCAGTTCTTCCTCATCTAGCAACAATCAGTTGCCAATATTCCTTTAGATAAGATTGGGGTCTGCTGTTCATTTTCCCAGTCCTATGCTGGGTTACTGTGTGAGAGTCTCTTGGGCCACCCTGGCCCAAGACAACTCGAAGGAAGGTATCTCCTGTCTGACATTGTTTCTCGTTACGTAGCCTTTAGCTATACACATGGACTCTTAAAGAATTATATTGATCCCTTTAATCTTTGGTTGTACTTTTCCTTTTGGGTGTTTTAAGACCATACAGTTGGCCCAGATAAACCAATTTATTTTTACTCTTAAAGTCGTTTGAGGATCTCTTCCTCAGTGGTCACATGGGCTTGCCCTGGCTCCTTTCTTTTACCAGTTCCATCTATATGAAGATAAGTCAAAGGTCCTGCTCGATTGTGGCTGACTTCACTTGGAAGCTTGGAGGAAATGTTTATTCTGTGTGACCCTCTCTTCGTAAACTGGATACTGGTTCAAGTCCATTTGATGGGGTCTCCATGGCCTCCTTGATCAAGAGGACAGGTGACTCACCACAGTTACAGGACATTTTGAGAGATGCTCATGGTCCCGTGGAACTTAGTTGACCTAGGAGGGCAAGGAGCAAAAACTGTCCTTTATGTCCCTCTGACCAAATTAGTGTAGGCCTCAGTGTATGGCTGTTAGACATCCAAGATGGTTAGTTCCACCAGTCTGGTACTTTTAATTACCATGTGCTATGTAGATAAAGCTTGGGCAAAGACCAAACGTTCTCAGATAAACCTTGCCTAGACATATATTCCTTGAGCTAATTGTATACCCTGTTCATCTCTTAATTTTGTTAATTTGGGGTTTCTCCTTTTTTAGTTCAGCTAAGGGTTTGCTAATCTTTTCAGAAAAGAAGCTCTTGGTTTCATTGGCTCCTTGTACTTTTTGTTGTTCGTTTCTGTTTCGTTAATTTATGCCCTGGTGTTTATTATTTCTTCCCATCTACTGGTTTTGGATTGATTTGTTTTTGTTTTTCCAGACTTTGAGATGCATTATTATTTATACATTCTTTCTAATTTTTTTTTTTTTTTTTAAATCATGGGCACTTAGTGTTACAAATTTCCCTCTTAGGACTGCTTTCAATTTACCCCCCAGAGGTTTTGGTATGTCATATTTTCATTTTCATTTAGTTTCCAGGAATTTTAAAATTTCTTTCTTGATTTCTTCTTTGATCCATTCAATAGTATGTTGTTTAATCTCCATGCATTTGTGTAATAATTTTAGAGGTTCTTTGGCTGTTGATATTGAGCTTTATTCCATTGCGGTCAGGTCCTGCAAGAACTTATTTCAGTTTTCCTGTATTGGTTGATATTTGCTTTATGTCCCAATATGTGGTCTATTTCAGAGAAACTTCCATGGGCTGCTTAGAAGAATGTGTACTTTATGATGTTTGAGTGAAATAATCTCTAGACATCTATTAGGTTCATTTGATCAATGATATCATTTAACTCCAATGTTTCTCTTTTTTTTTTTTATCTGAATAACCTGTCCATTGGAGAAAATAGGGTATTGAAATCACCAACTATTACTGTGTTGAGATTAATCTATGGCTTGAAGTCTAGTATTTTTTATGAAATTGAGTGCACCTGAGTTTGGTGTGTATATGTTTAGCATTATAATGTCTTCTTAGTTGATTGTTCCCTTGATCAGAATGAAGTATCCCTTTTCACTCTTTTTTTAAAATACTGGTTTGAAGTGTCTTATCAGATAGAATAATGACACCTGCTTGTTTCCTGTTCCTATTCGCTTAGAATGCTTTTCCATCCTTTGTCTTTAAAGTGGTACCTACCTTGAAGGTAAGGTTTGGGTTTTGTGGACAACAAAAACGGTGGATCTTGTTTCTTCTAACCTGTCTTCCATCAGTATTTGAAGCTCTACTGAAAGGTATATGTTTTCTCCTGTCATTTTGTTGCTATTTCACAATTTCACAATTTGTGTTCTTAGTTCCACTTTGTATTCAGTTATTGTAGAATCACTTGATTCCTTTCTGGAGCCTCTTCATGGTGCTCGTTCCTCTCCTCAGTCCAAAGTTACTGCTTCCTGTATTCTCTGTAAGGGCTTATTTGGTGGGTGTGAATGTTATAGAAAGTTTCCCTTTTCTTTTCAACTATGGCAGACAGTTTTGCTAGATAAAGTAGCCTGGATTGACATCTGTCGTCTTTTAGGACTTGGAGTGCATTGTTCCAGGCTCTTCTCGCTTTTACAGTTTCCATTGAAAAATCAGCTGATGGGTTTGCCTTTATATATGACTTGTAGTTTTTCTCTTGTAGTTTTCAATATCCCCTCTTTGTTCTGTTTATTTAATGTTTTGACTGTAATATGACATGGGAATTTTCTTTTCCAGTCCTATTTGGTATTCCGTATCTGAATGGACATGTCTTTTCTTAGCTTGGGGAGGTTTCTTTTTGTGGTTCTACTAAAGATCTCTTTCTATGCTCCTGACTTGGAATTCTTCTTTCTGTTCGTAGATTGGCCTTTTCATGGTGTCCGGAGTTCCTGCATATTGCTTTCCTGTGCTTTTTAAAATTTATCATTTTCTTTGAGTCAGTACAGTTCCTCTACTTTGTCTTTAAGTCTTGATATTCTATTTTCTACCTGATCTGTTGGTAAAGCACTCCACTGTGTTTTCTGATTCAGTTTTTTCATTTCCATCCTCATTTCATCTTAAGTTTTCTTCAGTATTTCTCTTTATTGAATTCACGTTTTAAATCCTGAATTGTCTTATTTCATGCAACCATTTATTTGAATTTTCTTGGCCTTCAATCAATTTTTTCACATCCTCTTTAAGTTCATTTAGGTGTTTATTCATTTCTTCTTTAAACTCCTTGAATTTTTTGATGATCTTTGTAAATATTTTTTTTAAATTGTGTCCAGAGGTTTATGTAGGTAGTTCTCACTGGAGAATATTTCTGTAGGACTGATGATCTTAAGGGGGGCATACTTTCTTGGTTTTTCATATTGCTTGTGGTTTTGCAATTTGGACATCTAGAGTTAGTTCATTGTTTGTGTGTTCTGTATGAGTTTCTAGTCCACCTATTTTGAATGGGGATTTGGTTCTGCTTTTGCTGTTACCCAAACTTGGTTGATTTCTGATCAAGTAGGAAAAGCTTGCATCTCAGTCTTTCGAATGTTTGGTGTTGATGATTGAGTGAAGAGGCTGAAGTGATTCCAATGTAGTGGCTGCTGGTAGTTTGCTAGAGTCTTAGCAACAGTGTGCAATTGTTTTGATGAGGTTCCTTGAGCAGTTGGGGCAGGGTTGGATGCATGAGCAAGGTTCTGGAGGGAGTACAGGGCCAAAATAATTTACCAACAGTGCCACCCACAGGGTGGGGCTCTGAGGCGACATACC